AGCCACTCCAACAGGAAAGCGGCACTCTCTTCCCCCTTCCTTCTCTTCTCCCAGAGGAAATGGAGGGAGTGGGGAAGGGACGTAGAGACAGTGCAGCAGCTCAGGGCTGGGCTATGTGCAAAATTAGTGCAAAATAAAATGGGGTGTGAACTGAGCAATATGCAATACCCTTTCCACACTAGCTCGCCCTGCAGACACATATTCCACGCTGAGATACTGTCCTGTGGTTTAGCTTAACCTGGTTTCAAAACAGATTAAAGCAAACCATGCGGGAGCACTCAGCACAGAGTGACATCATCTGCACAGGCAGCTTGAGCAATAGCCATTCAGGGTTATTCCTCTGCATAGACAAGCCTCCAGAGCAGCCCTATTCCCTTCGAGCCTCGCCCTTCCTGTGAACAACTAGACGGCTCCTCTCTGCCCCAAGTGTCCCTCCTCCCTCCCACCCTGGCTCAAGGGGTAGCATGGGGAGCCTGAAGGTCTCAGGAGGTGCAGGATGAAAGGGGCAGGGAAGGTAGCAGGGGTGTGGTGTGTGTTGGGGAAGATGTGGGCATTAGGGGTAGAATTAGGGGGGATACAGGGACAGGCAGAGGGCTTGAAAGCACCTGTAGCAGCCAGAGAGACTTACCTGTTGACAACACCACTTCCCATGTACCCTGGCGGTGGCAGAGGGAGTGCTACACACACACACACCCTTTAAAAATAAAGCCTTCATGGTGTTGAGAGGATTCCTGCTTTTTTAGCACTTGAGGCTGCCCTCCGGCTTGCCTTAGCCTTTATATGAGTATACGTAAAGAGCTCAAGGTGAAGTGCACTGTATGCAATCGACCCCTTGCTGTGCCATCCCCCGTCCCCTGCAAAAAAACCTGCTCCCTGCCCACCCCAAAGCACAGGTTCCCTGCATAGCAGGTGGCTTTCACCATGACCCATGGGTGCAGAGGCCCTTCTGTCCCCAGTCGTCACACACTGGTAGCTGCTGTCGTGCTCTTGGCCTCTGGAGAGCTCTGTTCAGGGAAGGATACATGCAGGGCATGGGCAGCCTAAGCAGTTGGGGATGCTACCTAAAAAGGAGGGGAAAAGCATCCCCCACACCCAGGCCAGGCAGAGTGGAGGGAGAAACCAGATCCCTGGGGGCAGGGGCAGGCTCTGCAGCACCCTATGACAGCCCCTGGGGCACTACGCACCTGGCCCCAACTCCTGTAGGTCTTCAGGGATCAGCAGCCACCTCCAACAGGTTGCAGGACTGAGGTGGCCTTGCCTTCTAGTCAAGATGCAGCTTTCCAGGGTCAGAGCTGCAAAGCAAACGGCATAAACACCAAAGGATGGACAAATGGACAGCCTAGTCCGTGACTGAACCCAGCTCTTCTACTCAGGCTCTTGTACAACAAATCTGAGCTCCATGTCTCAGGCCTGCTGTCCCCTCAGGGAGGCTCTTGCCAGGAGGCAATGCCTCCACGCAGACACAAGCCAGGCATCGCAAAGGAACTCAGCTGCCAGCTTGGCTCCTGGAGAGCTCTGGCAGGCCACAGGCTGACCTAGCTCCCTGCCAGCCAGGCTTCAAGTAGGAAACAAGAAAACTCCCCCCTTTCCCAGTTAACCCCAGGTTGAGCCGGGGTCTCTCCTTTCAGCTTTACCATTCACCTAGGCAGGTGAAGCAAGGGAGCGCTGATTGAGCCCCGCAGGCTCTCATTAACCCCTTCTTATTCAGGATGGGCTTTACACACATTTCCTTTCAGGCACTGGCAGGCAGGACTAAAACCCAAGAGTCCTGAGGGAGGAATCCTGTGCCCTCACCACTCCTGGGCCCTTCCCTTATTGCTCACTGCTATGAGAAGGGGAGCCAATTCAGATTGCACCTCCCCTTCATATTAATCAGGCACTCACTGCTCCTCTGCCTGCTTGTTGGCCATGGTGATCCCTAGACACTGCCAAAAGCTGCTCTGGGGACAGCCATGGCGTTGCAGAGCAGTGTGATGTAGCCGCCTCCTAGGTTTCCCATAACCCAGACTGTTCTCTCCTTCACTCACCCATTCCTATTTTTACTGGCTTCCCGGATGAAGCCAGAAAAGCATGAAATACAAAGAGAAATGTCTGGGGCGGTGGGCGTCATCCCAGAGAGAAATCTTCTCCAGCTGCTGTTGATTCTACTGGAGAGATCGTTTCAGTTATCGAGCCATGAAGAGCGGGGTTTGTGCTTCCAGAAGGTGTGGAAGGCGGCCCTGAGCCGGCCGCCAGCTCTCACAAGAGCTGCATTGTGCAGGTTTTATTTTTACACTGGCTGAATCAACTCAAGAGCCAACAGGCCCCTAGCTGTTTGAGGCTGGCAACATAGCACTGCTTGCTAATGTCTGTCGCTAAGGGTTTATTTCCATGGTTAATGCCATTTTTATTCAACCCAAGGGCTTTAGAAAGGGCCTGTCACCTGTGCTCTGCATTGAAATTGGGCTTGACACAGGTTTGACCCAAGATGCCAGTACTCTGACAACGTCCTAGAACCCCCTCCGCTTGGCCATTTAAAAATAGCCATTTAAATGCTGCCCGGACAGTGAAGGACAGGGACCGTTTCTGTTTACCCACAGAACAAGGCATGAAGAGCAATAGAGCCAGCTGCCTCTGCCTTGTGCCCACTGCCAACACACCTCAGCTGGTGAGAGACCTGAGTTGGCAGGGTCCTTTCAGCCAGGGCCTTTTGGCCAACGCTGGAATAATGGGGCTACAATTTGTGTATCCATTTACTGCCACTCTGCCAAGCCAGTACACACCCCCCAACTCACACATGCACACAGCTACCATCAGTCATCCACTGCTTCCAAACAGAAGTATACCTCACTCTTCCTAGATCTATTGCTCCTGGCTCCTACATGATCAGTCCTCCCCTACGGCCTGAGCCAAAGCCCATTGAAATCAGTAGGAATCTTGTCTCTAGCTACTCAGTGGTACATACTAGGCCCTCCAAAGCCCAAGGAAACAGGTGGTCTTTGAATGTATCCTGCAAGGCAGGCTGGAGACTGGATCAACAGGAAAATGTGACGGCCCGTGGGATCATGTCATCAAAGGATAAAATCACTGGGGAGGCCGTAATGCCCTTGGGCTTGCCACAGAACCAACTGTGATTGGAAAACTAGATCCCCCGCTACCCCCATACCAATCCCCTGAGATAGTAAGGGGTTGTTGGGCCTCCTTTTTCATTATAAAATCTCATTCCTTCTCTCCATTTCCCCTCCTGCCTCTCTCCTGCTCCCCTCATAAGTCATGAGGCCTTCAGCCACATGCTATGTTTTAAAAACATGAGAAACAACAAAAAAAAATCCTGCATTTAAAAATGGAGTGGAAAGAAAGTCCTTGTTGAGAACAAATTGTGGCAGAGTCAAGAGGTGTCTTTTTTCCCCAGAGGTTTGAACACATTCCCTAATTCCAAGACATCATTTTAACAGTAACATCCCACCCAATTCCCTTATTGGGAGTTTGTTCTCATACTGGGTGGTAAGAGTTTAAAGTGGATACATTGTTCAGTCTGGAAACAGCCATTTGAAACATTATTATTTCAATTTGGTTTTTTACAACAATTCCAGGGGCATCCGAAATAACTAAAGACATTGTTCTTGCTGCTGCTGGAGGTCCTGACTCAAGTCAGGCCCCCGGTGTACTAGGTGCTGTACAAACCAGTATAAGAGACAGTCCCTGCCCCAGAGAACTTGCACTCTCAGGGGACAGACAAACAAGCAAAGTGCAGTGAGTTAGCAGGGAATGGGGACTTACCAGGGAGCAACAGATGTCGGGCAATTGTCCATCTGCCTGTTCGTACCCCTCCTTAAGTGCAAGCTATACCAGGACAGCTTACCTCTGAATGAAACAGGTTAAATTGCCCTGGGTTAACTTTCACTTGTCTCTGGTTAAGAGCAGACAAAGAAAGAGTCACTGCATGTCAGCTGCTCCACCTTGCCTTTTAACTTGTTACAATTTCAACTTCCTTTCATTGTCAGAAGAGATTTTCAGAACTCCCACTGCTGCGGCCTGGCTCTGCTTGCCCTGAAGTCATTTAAACAGGAACAGATTTGGAGGACTTTAGAAAATCTCCCCCATCCCAGCTCTGCCCTGATCCCCACAACCAGGTAACTCCAAGGGTGTCTATTTTAGCCCCAGTTCCAAGATAGGGAAACGGAAGCACAGAGTCATTCATTGATTTCTTCAAGGTCACACTGGAAGCCAGGGCAGAGATGTGGACTTGCACCCATACACCCCATGTCCAAGCCCAGCAGCTTAGCCTTCCTCATTGCCACAGCTCTCACCAGACAGAACCGGAGCGCTGTGAGCCATGGCTCTCATTCAGCTCCAATATTCTAGCACAGAAAGGACCCGCTGCAGCCGCTCCAAGCAACAAAGGAGTGTGAAGCCCACAGTCGCAACAGTAGCTCAGACTTTCCTGGCTCTTACCAGTCTTCAGTCAGTTCCTTACAGCTCCTGGGGTTTCTCTTCAGCCCCATGAAAGGAACAGACTAGTAACAGTCTCCAATTCAGAAAAGCAACTGTGTTTGCATAAGTTTGGTAAAAGTATAGGGCGTGTATAGAAATTGGGTTTTTTTTCACTGTTCAAAGTACTTTATTGCTGTGACTTAACAGAAGTGCAGGGCTTTACAGCACTTTAAAAATGGACACATCATTTTACATTAACTCTTCTATTAGTACTTTAAATAACTTCTGTAAACTGGTCAAATTTCTGACCAGTGGAGACTGTGAACCACCCCCTGCCTCCTAGCCTGGAAAGTACAGGGAGGCTCAGAGACTGCCCGTCCTCCCCCAAACACTGCACATCTGTCATGTTTAAGAGTGCTGTAACTTTGCAGTGCTATAAAAAGTGCTCTAAATTACAGCGCTGTAAAACATGCATGGAGCACATGTAGCAGGGGTTTAGGTTGTAGCCGTGTTGGTCTAAGGACATAAGCAGACAAGGTTCCTTGGGTGAATTTGATATCTTTTATTAGACCAACCCAAATGGTTGGAGAATAGTTATTAAGCAAGCTTTCGGGCTCAAAAACCCTTCATCAAAAACCCTTCGTCAAAAACTCTTGAGCACACGCCAATTGTTGAAGCTTCCTTAGCCTGACGAAGGGTTTTTGAACCCGAAAGCTTGCTTAATAACTATTCTCCAACCATTTAGGTTGGTCTAATAAAAGATGTTGAATTCACCCAAGGAACCTTGTCTGCCTGGAGCACATATATGCACCCACATTTCTCTGGTCCTGATCCTGAGTTATCTATTTGGAAAAGTTCAAGATATGAACCATGTGCTGCACTGGAACAAAGCAATGTTCAATATGGTCCCAAGTCCTGCTTTAGACAAGGTCCAGGGCCAGATGCTCAGAAAATGGGTGCCTCTCAGCATCATATGCCAGATGACTTCACTGATGCTTCTCCCCAGATGCATGTGGACTGAAGCCCCTTGTGATGTCAATCAGTGCTCAGGTATTCTAGGAAGAGGGTGCCTATGTGTCTCCATGCTGGTGCATCTCAGTGGCTAACCTTTTGGCTTCCTTGGCAAATTTCTGGAACCTTCGCAGGTAAACTATAACAAGGAGGGCCAGGACAACCTGGATGAGGATGAGGACAGAGAGGCAGAGCTGGAAAAGCAAGGCCAAGCTGCAATACCAGTACTGGCAGGTGGTGATGATCTCCTCCTCTGACAGGTATGCAATGATCCTGCCCTGCAGGTGAGCTGGGGATGCACATATCACTTTTCTATAGTAGGTCCGGTTCTGCTGCCACTGAAGCCACGAACGCAGGTAGAGGATGTCGCAGTCGCACTCCCACGGGTTCTGCCACAGGTGGACCACTTCAAGGCTCTTCAGGTTGTCAAAGAGCCCATTGGGAATAAAGGAGAGCCTGTTGTCGTTGAGGAAGATAACACTAGTTGAGGGACTGAAGGAAGCAGGGAGGGATTCCTCAGTCAGTTCCTGTGAGGCGCAGTCAGTGATATTGGAGCTGCAACGGCACGGCTTGGGACAGAAGGACATGCCAAGGGGGAGAAAGCCAAGGAGGGAAAGGAAGAGAATCCAGTGGCTCATTTCCAGCTCTGAAACACAAACACACAGTCACCATGTGGACAGACTTCCACAAGACCTCGTGAGCAAACCTTAGCTGCTTGCCATAAGAGAGCAGCAAATGGGCAAGCAGGCACCTGAAATCTTGTGACCAAACAGAACAAGCCACGGGGTTTTGTTTCCTCTGAGGATTTATATTTAAGCGTGGGGGTGAATTTGATTCCCATGGAGATAAGGAACTGACACCACTGGGGAGGACATCATTTAAAGAGATGCACTGAGCAAGTAGGTGCTCTCTCCCTTCCTTCTCCACCTCCCCCACCCCAAACAACACTAGGCAGGTAATTGTTTTGGCCTTGGGTTTGTGGAGGGACACTAGAAACTAGACTGAAATCGTCTAGGTCTTTTGCATCTACTGCCATGGCTAATATAAGATTCATGATTATTATTTCTCTATTACTGGTATAATATCATGACTAAGGAAAATCATTATAGACAGTCAAGAACTGGTGCATGGAGTTGTTTATGCCCAACTCCAAACTCTCACATTCAGACACTGCAAACCACTACAGGGGCAAATAGCTGCAAGAAATTAAAAAAGAACTAGGCATTGGCGCAGCTAAAAGCCTCTCTGGTTTCGACAATAGACTGAAACAAACAGACAAGCAACCCTCATGTGTCGGGGCACATAGCGATTCCCTGCTACGATCAGGCACCAGTGGATGCATAATGGAAAGGGATACACTTTTTCTGAAGTACCTAGCATTGGTCACGGTTGGAGACAGGACACCAGGAGGAAAAAGGCTACTGGACTGTGCCAAAACTGCAGCTACCCTATTCCACTGCAGAAAACTCTAGGAACCATCAATTTCCAGAAACTGTACAGAGATAGGAGAATGCAGTGGCAAGACAATGCTTTCCTGAACAAAAAAGCAATCAAAGGCAAGAAAGAAGGGCACATGGCACTGTGCATCTACTTACTTTTCCAGAGCAGTTCCCAGCTGGCCTTGCAGCATGAGAGAAGACCGTTCTAGGCTGCCAGTCAGTCCAGGAGTGTTTGCAACCAAGCAGCTGAGCTCCCAGATATTTCCCCACATGCGTGTACGAGATAACGGGAAGGCAAACTGCCAGGACACCTCCCACTGATCTCTTCCTGCAAACTCAATCCTCGTCATCGGAAGGGGGAAGGCTCCGTTGAGGGGCTGTTCTGAGAAATGGAAATGGTGCTGGTTGCAGTAACGCTTCAGCAGTGCCAGCACTTAGTGGCCCTGATGTCAGTGATGAAGACTGGCCTAGTGGCAGGGGAGGGAAAGGACATTAGGGAATGAAGGATGCAAGGGTTGTCTTCATTATATTTCTTGCAGGCTTGCCCCATGCTGAGTAATGGAACTGTAATGGAGAGGTGTGGACTGTAAGCAGGGCAAGGCAGAGACTGTTACTAATGGCACATCTGTGCAGCAGCTACCACTGTGGGGCTCTACCCTCTCAGAAGCTGCCCCCATGCTACCACAAGAGCAAGGCTTAATAGTAGTGAGCTTCAAAGAGAAAGGTGGGCACTAAATGCAAACACACCTCAGCTGGGGAGTATGGGGATAAGCTATTCAGCAGCCTTAGGAAAGCTACTATTTCTTAGGGCCATCCAGTGCTAAGTGGCACCTGTCTTTGCCTCCCATCTGACATGATTGCTATTTCTGTGTCTGTCACTGGTGCAGCTACTTTCCTCTGCTGAGGCTGGAGAAGATTTGGCAATAGCAGCCAACTAGATCTCTCTCCACACAGAGATCAAGCAATGATCATACTAATAAGGCAAGAGGTCTGCAAGAAAGCTGGGGGAGCCTCATGTGGATCAGCAATACCTTCAGTACAGTAACCCAGCACCCTAGTTTGATGATGATGATGATAATGTCATCCTAGGTCATTCCCATAATCCTCTCTAGGACTTTCATCCTGAAGGAATGTAAACCCTGTACCAACTATATGCACACAGCTCCGAGTATCCCTTCCCACCTGCGTATGTTCCAGCAGTGGGACAGGAAGCAAAAGAGGCAAAACAGAAAATCTCATGTGGGGGCAGAAGTACCTGTTTTGTTTTGTTTTTTTCCCCATTTGTTGTCTCCCACCATCTGTTGATTTTGCCATTCTGCCTCCACTTCCCCCCAACCCTTCCCATTTTTATTGGTATTTCTTCATTGAAGGTAAGGTCCTTACTGGTTATGGATAGATCCATCTTTGGGAGAATTGCACTAGCACATGTGGACCAAGTAGGTTGGGACAGGAAGTGAAGGAGAATACTGTATCCCACTGCAGGCAAAACTTAAATAGGGAGAAAGTTCTGACTTAAGAAGCAACTAGAAAGTTCAATTTAACACAACTAACGTTGTGAAAAGCACCACAAGCTTCATGATTACCATTAGGGACCTTGCCTTCACATTTCATCACAAAGCCACTCTCTGGCACTCCGGTAAACCCTAAGATTGTATTGCAACATATGGATAGTATCAGCACCTCCCACAGGACCTCAGGTTTTCTTTGAAGGTCTCTCATCCAAGTACTGACTCCAGTGTAGCCTTGCTTGGCAGGTTGGGAGGTCTAACACAGTGGTCTGGGATTCTAGTGACTTAATTGTAGTGAAAAGCTGAGCAGAGAAGAAATGAGATTTTGCATGGCCTCACATGACTGAGAGTTACGCTCAAACCTAGGACATTCTGGTAGCTGCACCAAAATGAAGGCGAGATCCAAGGAAAGGAAGAAAACTGCAGGCTGCCTCAGCTGGACAGTGCCTGGAAAGATAATGCTGACAGGGACATCATGATCTGGTGGGCTTTTCTCGATAGTCAGATGACTCAGCAGCCTCAGAGGCATGTGCAATGCACAGTTAGCAAGGGAGGCTTACCACATCCTGTATTTGTGGCAGAGAAGAGATGCTCCAACTGGACCAGCAAAGTCAGCTGGATAAAAATACACTAAGGCCATCTGGATGCTCTCAGGATGCTGAGGTCATATCACCATTGTACCCATTAAAGGCCAAATTCTGCCTTAGGTTTCTCACTAGAGTTAGAAGCTGCAGAGCTGGAAGTATCTGGTCCTTTGATTCAGCGGGGCTGTAACCATAGCCAGGATTTGGCCCAAGGGGAAATTAAAGTTTTGTTTCTCTCTTCTAAAACTGTTGAGCCTTGAGTTTCCAGTAAGCCAATAGAGACCTCCCCAACCATTACACCAAAGTAGGCAGGTAAGATGGAAAAGAAACGAATAGCTCAGGCCAGAGGTGTAACAAGCGGGTTCTGTGCCCTGGATGGCAGTGGTGGCAGGAGTGGTGGCAACAGGTGTTATTGCACCTCATTTAAATGATGCCTGGGGCTAGTGCCTCTGTCACCCACCCTTGGTCATGCTACTGGCTCAGGCTCTTGCAAGTGTGCTTTTTTTTTTTTCAGTTGGGAAGGGCTTAGTGACAACAGTGATGACCCAGATGCATTTTCCCCATAGATTTTAAGGCTGGAAGGAAACCAGAGAAACATCCAGGCCAACTTTTGGCATAACATCGCCCCACAGATCCTGCACTGAGTTGCATCCGATTGCACAAGATATATGGACAGAGAGCACCAAGGTGAATTTTCCAGGCCTCTTCCACCTTATGATGAATGCCGTTTTGATAGAGAGAACAATTAAATCAGGAGAAGGCCACTTGGTGTTTTTAATGCATTTATTTCACTGATCAGTTCAGGTAGTAAACATTATTAATAATAATAATAATAATAATAACAATAATCATTTTAATAAAATGGATATGTTTTAAAAGGTTCCATTTTCTGTGTTCACAACAAACATTTCAACAAAAATTTACAAAAAAAAAAGTAATCAAACAGACCAACGAAGTGCCTTGGAAGGGAGCGTGGGGAGGTGGGGTCACACGGTCACAAGTAAGCCAGAGTTACCACATGGCTGTGGCTGGGATGAGTGAGCAGAAAAGCTGTCGCACAGCACAAATGAGTCCCCCCAAAAGGACGTGGGGCAAGGACAAGGCATGCAGACAGGGCAGCAAAGTGATCACAAAGCCAGTACCGCACAACAGGTACCTCCTCAGTCAGGCACAAAGTTAAAGGGGTTGTACCGACCGTCCTCTTCCTCAGCTACAACAGCTACAGAGCAGGACAAGACCCCTGGAGAGAGCTGCTAAGAAGTGCTATCATTGGCAATGTTTGCCTTTGGTTACACACAGGTGCGTGGGCAGGTGGGTGGTAAGGTTAGGTGGATTAGCACCCTACTTATACCCTTTACTTTCTTCTCTGTCAGTGGGAGCTACAGCCCCCAAGGGCCACACAGACACCCGTGTTTATCCAGGAATGAGATTTTGCTACAGAGCAGGGCCAGTAACAGACACCCATTCTTTGAATATGCAAGTGCCACTTCCACAGACAGACCCTAGTGCGTGCAAGAGGACAGCTCAGTTTCTGGTCCCTTTCCCGGCAGCCATCATACCTCACCTCATGGGGTAGGAAGCTGGCTGGGATTTTTTTTGCTGGTGGGTCTCTGTGGTCCCACTTCACCTCTGCAAAAGTTGCACGTCCAGCCGAGAAGCTGCCATTCTAGTCACCTCACTGGCAGGTACTTCTCTGCCTGACCCCAAACTACAACCCACTCTTTTGCCCATGACTGGAATGGATCAGCGATTCATTACTTGATTTAGCAGCAGTTTGCACTGAGATGATGGAGACTCCTTCACTAGGACAAGGAGCAGATGTCTTAGTCAGCAATACTTCTGTAGCGGCCTTGAGCTCCCAACTACCTCAAGTCCACAGCAGCACCCTGTCTGAACACCTTGCTCACTGCTGCAGCCATCAGTACAGCTGCATGTTCCACTTTACCACGTCATCACCTGAGGCTAAAGGGAAGATGATCTCCTCGTCCTCTTAGATCAGAACCTGCTTAAAACAGGGGCAACCCTTGGCTGGTCAAGGGATGTTACTGCAGTAGGTCACTCTCTTGTGGGATGCATTGCCCAGAAAATACAGAAACAAGGAACTTTGCAAGCTAAAAAAAAGGGGAGGAGCAGGAGAGAGGAGGGAGAGTACAGCCATGTCAATGCTTTTGCAGTTACAGTAGTATCGATAACACTGGTGAGAGTTAGTGTGGTAGCAGCTGATTTCCAACAGAGGCCTGGAAGAATCTGTCCCCATAATAATCACATAAAAAGGAGCACTGCAGGGAGGCTTGGTCCCCCCAAGCATCTGACACTGTGGGGGCAGGGAGGGGGGCAGGACACCAGATTAGATGGATCCCTAGTCTATCCTGGCCTGGCATTGCCCCAATTGCATGTGCTTCACATGGGAAGAGAAAAAGGAGCCACCTAGGTAATAGCCTTGCTCTTCTGCCAGATGGAAGCACATCCCTCATGCTCCTGCACTTCTCTGGGGCAGTAAAATGCATCTTAAACAAGCCAGGCTCAAAGCTCAGAGCTTCAGTCTGGTGCTCACTCATGCCTCCCCTACGTGTTGGGTGAGAGCCCTCTTAGGCACCAAGCCCCTCATCACTGCCTAGATACAAGTGGCTTGGCCTGGTGAACAAGAGCCACCCAACCTACTGACCAAGTGGGGCAAGGGCACTGTGGAGAAAAGCCAGCCTGACATGCTGCCAGGAGCAGCCCTAGGATCTAAAACCAGTATTTGGCATGCCGTCTATGCATAGCCAAGACAGTAACAGAGACTGGGGACCACCAGGGAGCCAGGGATGGAGCCCAAAACTGCAGGTACATGTGAACAAAGAGGAACTGGAGCAGAAGCTAGGGGCTGGGCACAATGGCCTCACCCAATGTGCATCAGAGTGAAACCAGCCTGTTGCCTGAACTCCATGGAGTCAAGGTAGAAAAGAGTCAAATGAGCAGTTCACTTAGAGGCCCCTGCAAGATGCCATTCCCATCAGCCTTCCCAGCACATCCTGTGCTATCAGACACACCACACTTCTGGTGACCTCCTCTCACTGGGCCTGATGGTAAAAATAAAGCAGGAAGCAGCAGTGGGACAGAAAGGCTAAAGACAGAGCACTCTTATCTCTGCCTACCAGATCCCGCCTGCCTTCCCAACACTAGAGCTGGAAAAGGCTGCCATGCCTGGGGACAGGAGGAAAAGGGAAGCCTAAAGCTACTGTAAGAAAGGGCAGTGCAGGAAGGGCAAGGCCTGCCGGGCTGCACTTGGTCCCTGGCATAACACCTGCACACCTGTTGTGCTGGCTGAAGACTCTGCAAGCCATTCATCACCCCCCGTTCCCATTGCAGCCTGCCCTCCCAGCTTTCCCCTCCAGAAAGCTCTTGGCTCTCCCACACGCTCATTAAGAAAGTACAGAGGAAATGGCAGAATGGGCTAATGGGCCAGCAGTGTGTCTGAGGGGCTTCACATGCTTGGAAGGAAAAGAGGGCCCTGCTCTGAGAAGTTGTTCCTTACCCTGTAGCTTCTACCATTCAGCTCTAAACAGTGGGTATGGCTTGAGCCCTTCACACCTCCAACTGAGCACTGGGGTTACACTTGGGTTGGATAGCAGGGGCTGAACCATGGGACCTCCACACCTCCCACCCTAGACAGGGAAGGAAGTGAAGAAAAAGCTACCATGTCGCCTGCTAACTCCTCAGTTTTGCTGGCTGCAGTGGGCTGAGGAGATGCTAACACCCAGGGGATTGGCCCAGTAGCAATCACCTCTCCAAAGGCTGATGCAGCCTGGCCTTCAATGGCACATCTGCGAAACTAGGAAGGCCTAAATAAGGGCAGTGGAAAGCTGGTATTTACTGACCTAGGGAGCAAGGCTCCTTCCTCTCAGTGCAAATGATCCTGGAACTTCTCAATGGGAAAATCAAGCAGGACTGTTCAGGCACCCTAAGAATACCCCGATGAGCCAGTTTCAGTGAAAAACCCCTGCTGTGCCTTGCAGTGAAGCAGTGGCTGAGAAATGCCCAGGCAGAGAGGTACAGCTGGCTTGGTCTAATCCATGAAAGGTCAGAGGTAACATTTGCCTTTTAAGGTACCTGCGCTGGCCCTAAGGGGTGGTGAGGGGGATGGGGTCACCGCACCTTGGCTGGGAGTAAACATTTACGTGCATTTACACAGAGAGTCTTCAAGTTTGGACGCCACAGACACCGTGACTTGAAATCCCAGAACATTCCCAAACAAGCAGTTAGTACACCTGGAAGGGGGGGAGGTTTTAAAAATGCCTCAGACACTTCCCAGACTTTTATATATATATACATATATTAAAAAAAATAGGAAAAGAGGGAAAAAAAGAAAACCCACATCAGTAAACAGTGAAGTGACCAGCCTCCTCCACGATCTGGCTGACTGCAGGGTCAGTGTCGCTGCTAATAAATTAGAGGGTGGAGTGCAGCTCTTGCCCGCAAGTCTCTACGCGATGGGGAACTTCTCTCGAAAACGTCCACGTCTCAAGCTGGGCCCCAGCAAGTCACCAGGGGGGATTCCTTTTGCCCCCATCCTCCTAGCACTCACTGGTCCTGCATCTGTTGCTGCATCTTCTGCAGCATCTCTTGCATCCTCCGCAACTGTACAAAACAGGGGAAGGGAAGATCAGAGGGTGGGTGGATCCACCACAGGGAACGGCCAGGTTGCTGGTGAGAAAGGGACTATGTCACCCCACCTTTTGTGCTGGGGCCCAGGTCTGCACAGCTTCTCATTCTGCTGGGTTCCTGGGCTACCTTGGACTGGCTCACAGGATACATGGGACCAGGATACATAGGGTTTGGGAGAGGCCTGGCCCCAAGGGGAAGGTTGCACCTCAACCTAAACATGACTCAGAGCTGTGGGCTGGTTCCAGTGACAGCTGGCCCATGTGGGCCCTGCTGTCCTGGGAAGAAGGGAGCTGCGGGAAGGGTGCCAGGCACTGCTGAGGCAAGGACACCCACAACTTATCCACAGGATACAGAGGCAGGGCAACCATCCCATGCTGCCCTACAATGTGGCTCACCCTGGTGAAGGCAGCCCCCAGGGCCTGTTCACTCCTTCCCCTCACCCCAATAATGCACCAGAACATCAGGCCCAGCAAGAAGCTGGTGCTACATACTGACACGACAGACGCACAGCTCAGCTGTCTAGGGGAACCAGGGGTGGTCTCAGGTTGCATTTCGGCCACTCCTGGCTCTTGCCACCACTTGCTGGACATCAGGGCCCTTCTAATCACAGTGACTGAACAGGACAGAAGGAGACAGACCTGGCAGAGAGGATGGGGCACTTGCGTTGGGTGGTGCTGGCAGGGTGCAAGAGGGTCTCGGAGAAAACTCTAGTCACCTGAACACAGCGGCTGCGGACAGGGCATTAGTGTCCACTTCTCAGCATGGCATTGCCACTGCCTGAGAGGGACACAGCCTCTGCAGAAGAAAAGGAACGGGGAGGTGGGGAGAGGGACACTGCAGTGGAAAGCCCCAGGAGAAACTCCTGTGATCCTAGCACTTATCTCCATGGACCCTGAAGTGCAGTGGGGACTTACCTCTTCATCCTTCATCTTGATCAGCTTCTCTGTTTCCGTATCAGGTGTTGGAAGGGGCAGGATGGGAATTGGGCTTTCTATCCTGTTGTCCTGAGTCAGCTTGCTAGTGAAAAAGAGAGAGGACAAAATCAGTCCAGTCCACTTCCACCCTGGCTGGATCTGGCGCAGAGGAAAGGAGCACCGTGTGGACATGCACATATCCAGCCACCTACACTCAGCACTGACACAGGCCCGCGGGGTGCAGTGAGGTGGTGCGGAGCAAGGGCTGGAATCCCCTCACATGCAGGCCAAGATCACTGAGGAGCATCCTGGAGGGAGGCTCTTGTAGGTATGAAAGCCACACACCCAACTGGATGGACAGCCCACTGACAACAAGCCTCAAGTCACTAATCGTGATGAGGCTCAATACAGCAGAGATGCTAACAGGCCAGAGTCTTGCGGTCTTGCCCTCTGTCTCTATCTGCCTAGGACATGGGGACCTAAGACTGCCAGCAGCCTCCTGGGCTGTTGAATGCAGGCCCCTGTGCTCATAAGCTATTTTTAACCAGCGGGTTCCCAAAATCACTACTTTGAGCCCTCATCTACAACTACAAGTGGCAATACCTGACACACCAAGGGCACCCAGCAGCACACTACAGGGGAGATGAGGGCGCTGTCACTGCACTGCAACTACAGGGGAGTAGATTGAACACAGAAAAAGACCCATGCCCTGTACTACAGAGGAAGGCAAAATCCCCCTCAGCCTGTGCCAGTCTCATCTAAGGGGAAAACTCCTCCCTGATTGGCAAACAGGGTGATTGATGTGCCCCTGAGCAGAAGAAGTTTCTAGCTGAAACCTCTCCATTTTTATCACCAGCAAGAGCAGGAGCACACCCTACACAGAAACCCATAGCTTTAGCTGTGGCCACCATTGCCTGCTCCCCTCCCCTCCCCA